TCCGTTTGTTATCGTTGATGAATAGCCGTTCGCTCGGCAGCAAACAACGAGTCGGAGGCGGCCTCGCTTCGGAGGTGGTTGAATGAGTGGTGGTAGGCCCGAATCTCACAGGACGGTCGCAGAGCGGTGAACGAACATCTGTCCTCGAGATGAAGTATCGTCTGGCCTATCCACTCACGCTCGCTTGCGGCTTCAAATATAGCACACTAACTGAATGGCTGAGCAGTTCTTTGGTGCCACCTGGATTGCGGCTGACAGTCGAGCACGCGAGGAGCTCAGACAGTGGGATGTGTCACGCATCTCGGCGATGAAACCATGCTCAGATTTGTCCCCATCGAATGCCGCGGCCTCCAGATAGCCTCTCCGCCTATTGAGTAGCATCATCTTAGCGTTCGATAGAATTCCGAGTAAAGGACCTGCTGCTCCTCTGTTAGGTTACTGAGAAATCGAGGACGAACAATGGAGTCTAGCCAAACAGATTCTGGACCCGCCTTGTCCACTTCCGCGAATCTCGTTGCATCACTCACACGTTCAGCACAAGTGGCCTGACGAGGTTTACTGAAGAGGCCTGTGGATGTCGAAATGCGTGCCACACAAGTCATTTGCGACCTCTACAATGACATCATGTCGGCGATCCTGGTCAAATTTCGATGCAGGCAAACTCCTCCGTACGGAACTAGGAAACTTCAGGAGTTTTTGACAAGAGGAATTATTCTGATGATTTTTCTTTCGTCGGCGACCGTCGACATCTTGACGACATGCCCGCCGCTCCACGATTTAGTCAAGTAATTTCCCGAATCCTGTCGCTCTGAACGGGCGCGAAGCTCATACGTGCGACTGATGAAAATGATATTTCCGTGTCCCTTTTGGTGGACTGTCTCAATGGAATAGTCTAGTTTTCTATCCCTCGAGGATGTCCGCGGGGGGCAGGCAGAAACGCGATCCTGGCTGCCTTATCGTGGGTGCGATATAGAACACAGCCGCATGCTTTCGTCAAGCATAGCTGGAGATGTCCGCGGCTGATTGGTCCGTCGAAGTACTCACGTTGACCGGCACCTGAGTAAGATAGGAAGCAGCCCGCACATCCTAATGATGATCTATGTTTCTTCTCCCATCTTGTTCCCAAGTTGACAGCGCGCCTGTCAAGATGTTCACGGATTGGCAGAAGTTTCGTTCCAAAACAAGATCGTCGGCTCTGTCACCATGTATTTATTTCCCGAACCGTTTGTTATCGTTGATGAATAGCCGTTCGCTCGGCAGCAAACAACGAGTCGGAGGCGGCCTCGCTTCGGAGGTGGTTGAATGAGTGGTGGTAGGCCCGAGTCTCACAGGACGGTCGCAGAGCGGT